CATTCTTATAAATGAAACCAGAGTAACACTCACAGTATCATGCAGACAATGTTCCAACACTTAAAAGAGGAAAACATGATTTTTAAACTTGGAGTTCAAAGCGCCTTGTCCAGCATGTGTATCCCAGGTCAACTTGGAGTTCAGCGCCTGGTTGAAAACACCTTCAGTGTTCTAGCCAGCACGCGTCACCCCACTGTGATCCGCAAAGGTGTCTTGAGGATGTAAGAGACTTTCCCACAGAAAGCCTCCACTTTCACCAGATGGTCCCCCTTGTGGAGGATTACCCATCTCCTCATAGCACTCAGGATTTGCCTCCAAACCTATTTAATATCCATCCAAAGTACATTATTAAAAACTAGAGAATTCCTACTCTTCCAAATGCCCCAGAGCACACAAGAGCAAATAGAATTGAGAGCACTACATTTTTTGTTCACTAGCCAATATGTGGCAATAGAAATCTAATCAAATCCTAAGTCATGTTCAAGGATCTCAGATACTAAAAGCCAGATTTGCCTAGCAACCACACAATCAAAGAAGAGATGATGGATGTTTTTAGTTTCATTGCAGAAAACACATTCAGGGGGTTTAGTGATCCCCCTCTTTGCTAGGTTATCTTTGGTCATTAGCTTGTTATGGGATAGCAACCAGAGGAATACTTGAACCCTAGGGGGAGTGACAATGGACAAAATATATAGAAGGGATAAACACAGGTTGCACTCCTCTAAAGTTAATGATACTGTAGAGAGAACCTGCAATGTATTCTCCTTTGCTCTCATATTGCCAGATCAGGGAGTCACAAATCCCTAGAGAGATGGATGCCCATGGTGATCTCTTCAAGTTCAAACCAGGACTCCATAGTAGGGGGAAATTCTCCTGAAAATTAGCTTAATGTTCTGTCCATCCCAAAAATATTAGCCACAGTGGCACACTGTTGGTTGCATATGGTATATAATGGCCATAATTGGACAGATAGGGGAGGTGTGCCAAACCAAATGTCTTCCCAGAATCTGATTTTTGTACCATCTCCCACTACCCATCTAAAACCAAATTTCAGGGCTTTGGCAGCCCACATAACACCCTGCTAGAACCTGGAGGTGTGTTGTGCCTTGCTAGCAAAGATGTTGGGGGAGCTCTTGACATATTTCTTATCAATTATGTTTTTCCAAAGCTTCCCATCATCTTTAATATATCTATTCACCCAATTTCCTAGTAAACATAGGTTAACATCTTTGATGTTGTGAATTCCTAAGCCATCATGCTCTTTTTTCATGCAAACTAAATGCCAATTTGCAAGGTGGAGTTTTCTATTGCCTTCAAAGTCACTCCATAGACAGTGAGTTAATTGGCTGTTTATTAAATCTAAAGCCCAGTTGGGGAATTTGAAAAAGGAAAGCAGGTACACTGGGATACTGGATAGGCAAGCTTTAATTAAAGTTAGCTTAGCAGCATATGAAAAAAGTTTCCCTCTCCAGCCTGCAATCATTTTGAGGATTTTATCTATTAGAGGTTGTAGGTCCTCTCTTCTCAACTTGTCATAGTGTAAGGGGATCCCTAAATACTTAATAGGTAATGCACCCACAGTGCAACCCATGATGTCAACAATATTACTAATCTCTTCTTTAGTGGTCCCAATAGGGATTAATTCACTCTTGGCCTAATTAATCTTCATACCAGAAACTCTCTCAAAGCAAGATAAAATCCTTTTCAGGTTAGAGGCTTTTTGCTCATCCCTGTCCAAAAACAGGATGGTGTCATCTGCGTATTGCAAACAGATGACACCTCCAGGGATAAGTTCAGCACATAAACCCCTAATCATATCATGAGAAGATGCTTTGATGAGCATCCTAGTCAGCACATCTACTAGTAAATTGAATAAAAGGGGGGACATGGGATCTCCCTGTCTTAGTCCTTTACTGGTTGTAAAGAACTTCCCTTCTACACCATTAATCTTCACCCCCACCGATTTCACCCAGAGTGGGCCAAAACCTCTTTTCCCCAAAAGGTCTATGATAAGGCCAAGGTCAACTTTGTCAAAAGCTTTCTCATAGTCCAATTTCAACACCAGACCTGGACACGACGTACATATGTATAATTGTATATACATGAACGTTGGACTCAAACGAAGGAGCAGTGTCTATTTGAAAAAAAACGAAGGAGCGGTGTCTTGAAGGGCGGCACGGCCGAGGGAGCTGTGTGTTCTTCTGCTCCTCGTCGACCCATGCTCCCACTGACGCCCTGCCAGCATTCCAACCCAACCCGTGGTGGGCCCCCACCACCATCCCCCACTCCGCCGGCAGCCTTTTTTTTTGAAAAGAAGGATTCTCCACCGGCAGCCTGAACCTGAACGACAGCTCCGGCGACCTCTCTCCCTCTCTTTCTGCAGGATCTACAATAATGAACTAGCCAAACTGCCCCTTACGCCTGAATATACTACAAGGGTTTTGTGGTAGTATTTGTCATATCTATGCCGTTGGATCCCAGAAATAAACGGTCCAAAATTATATGATGTACTCTTGTTTTATATGTACAGGGTGACTGATCAGAAGTTTAATTGGCCACCATGGTAGGATATCACCCAGCAGCTACATCTGTCAAACAACACATCTGCTGCAAGGAAGTACCCTTGCCAGCCCACAAAACAGTGTGAAACAGATATATGTAGACTCTCAGATAATAAGAGCTCCAGGAGTTGTGTAGCATAAAAAGGCTAGGAGAATAATCAGTGCTCATAAAATTCAGTTAACAACTACTTGTTCTACTTTGCAGGTTTGCACCCATCTAAGAAACTGAAGCGCGTGATCATCACGAGTAAGGTGATTATGTCCCCCTGAACTCCATACTACAGAGGAACTGAACTAAGGCCATGAGCCAGTCCACAGCTTAGGATCACACCCTACTGGAGCTCAACAGTTTGGCTTCATGCTGCCGCCGGATGATCAAAGACTGCTGGTAAAGGTTCAGGTCAAGACCATCGACGTTCCTGCCCACACGTGCTTGCAAAATCACCTGCAGGATGTAAGCAACAAATTTGATGCAGCATTGATAGACTGATATTAGACTGCCAAAAGCTGGAGAAGGACAGAGAATTACGTCGTCGTTTGGCCGAATCAGGAGCTCGCCGATGAACTGGAAAGCAGAACCGCTGCGAAAACTTATGTCCCTCAGGTGTTGGGTGTCGATCCTCAACCTTGCGCTGCCGTCCTGAATAACGGCGACCGCAGAGTCGACGTCATATGACTGGAGGCTAGAGAATAGCAAACCAAGAAGGTTAGCAAGGCTAAAAGTTGCAGTTTTGAGGAGAAAGCAAAATAATAGGCAGACATACATTCCTGTTACCCGGAGGGACGCCCCTTGCTTGAACATCTCCGAGGAGGGCGCTAGCTCTTGCAGAGTGACAGGCACACCTGGTTTCAGAGTGGAAGTTGCCATCTACTCCTAGCACACGGGGAACTGATGAAAGGCAAAATGAGTGGGTTATGTCTGGTCTCCGGTGACATTCTTTGCAATCAAGAAAAGTACTGATACTATTTCGACATTACCAGATTATACACTGGTAGTTAATACAACTATGGCACTGATACTGTTTGATTGTATCAACATTTATCCTGCTGCTCAACATTATACCTGTTCAGATACATGAGACTGCAATATGGATACTACTGCTGCATACTGATCTAGTAGCATTGTAATCTCAATTACGGGGAAAGAGGCAAAATGTATCAGCTCCCAAAAAGGGCTTCAAATCAGACATGCAAGTCCAATCCCATTCCCATACAGTGCATACAGTGACTCCAACATTCTGGCATGAGATCTAATCTGAAACTTGACTCGATCCTTATTTTTGCACCTGACAGAAACCGCTAAGAACGTACCTAATGCGCACGGGCTGCCTGATGAAATCCACGGCCCTGCCAAAGATTGCCTCTGTGCTGACCTACTCCTTCCCCCTCCTGCTCTGCTCCTCCACCGCGCGTCGCCGGCGAGGCGGCCTCGCCAATGCGCGCAAACAGTCCGGCCGCTCGAGGCACGAGGATCGGGTCGGAGACGCGAAGATCGCCTGGGGGAGGATGGGTGGAAGGACGGCGGCGGGGGAGAGATTCCGGCGAACGGCGGCGGATGGAAACGGGAGGAGACGAGGAGCACCTGTACTGGTACCTTTTTTTTCTTCTTTTTGTTATACTGGTACTGGCACTGGAAAAGCGAAAATCTCTATATGACGCTAACGGCGTCAAATTGCCAGGGAAACGCACAGGCCCAGTCATCCTCTGGTGACCGACCGACCACTACTGTCCAGCCACCACTACTACAAAATAAATTTGCCTAAAAAACCAAAATAAATTAAAAAAACATCACTACTTGAATAAATTATTAAAAAACATCACTACTTGGATAAAGAATGTTGTTTATCTAAACAAAAAAAAGCATCCTTTATAACCCAATAAAGAGCGTTGTTTGTCATATGGACTATTTTGTTTTCTCAGGCCGGTTTCTATAGGTTTTCTTGGTCAGTTTCTATCCAAGAAAACATCTATTGGGTTTCCTTTACAGATTTAATTTTTAAAATCTTGGTAAATCATTTTTTAATTGCTATGGATGTTTTGGATATAATTTTAAAAAGTATGTGAATTTAATAAATTTTCATTAATTTTAGAAAATGTTCTCGAAATGTATAGAATGTTCTTGAATTTGATCTTTCTTAAAATGTAAACATACTTTTGAAATGTGAGCATTCTTGAAAAAAACAATTTTTGAATGTTTCATAAAAGGTCTGGACATATTTTAAAAATCTTAAACACTTTTTAAGACATGAACATTTTTAAAAATTCTGGTATTTTTTAAACATTTTTTAAGACATGCCTCACCATCGCATTGCGTGGAGACCTGAGAAGTGGCAGAGGTGGAAGGCGCCTCTGGTTTGTACTCCTAGTTACATAGTGCCCTTTCTACTCACACTTGTGGCAAGTCACATCTGAGAAAGGACGAGAGCGAGGAGGATCTCCTGCCCCCGAGCCTGAGGCCTCTCCTAATAAGCTGGGTTGGGAGGTAACACTTAACGGTATTCTAAGATCCGGAAAATGTGGTCACTAACAACACTTGAGCTAGTTGTTAGAGGCGAGACTACAAACCTTTTATTTAGCGTTTATCAATCCACACGTGCATATGAGTTTTCCACTGAATAGCATATTTCAGGATCATAGCAATTATAGAATAGAATATAAACTATTAACAAAGAATATGAAAATATAATAATACAAAAATTATTGCCTCTAGGGCATATTTCCAAGAGTTAAGTCGTTCCTTGTATCTGACATGGCCGGTACCAGGGAGTAAAGACCAAGACCGCGGAAGCAACAAAGAGGTCCCGCCACGGCGCAACAGTTGCAATAGAGATGTCCTGCAGCACCGCAGAGGCCTCAAACGAGCTCTCGCGGGCAGGCCAGGGTTCTCACAAGCGCACTCATCGAGTCGGCAAAGTCAATGAGCTAGCGGTGCTAAAGTCCTTAGCCAGGGACGACAACATTATTGCTGAGCTAATTACGCAGCAGGAGCTGATCGCCGCATTGGTGAACCTGCTGGAGGTTAGTGATGCCTTGGTTGAGAAGGTGACCGGCCTCATCGTGCAACTCATGGGTGACAAGGCGAAGTTTCGCAACGAGCTCGACAAGGAGGAGGCCACGGGCTAGAAGAAGTTGAATGAGAAGAGTAGTGCCTCGGGGATGAAGCTGAAAGCTGTCGCTGAGGAATTTATGGATGATTAAAGAACCTCTGCATCGAGCACGAGCTGCTGTTGGAGGAATCCATTGCTGCTATGAAGCAAAGTGATGAGGATGTGAAGAAGTAGAGAGTAGCGATGGAGGGACTCCGCACCCAGTGACCCATCAAGAAGTAGAGAGTAGCGAGTCAGATCGTTGTCTGCGTCTTCCTTCTTCTCTTGACCCTGTGTCTTTCGGTCGCTGCCGCATGCGACATTTTAAATTATCCTGAATATGTAAGACAATTATTACCCATTACCATTGTAAATTTGTCATCGTATTATTTTGTTCGTAGGTACATGTATACGAGTCGAAAACAGGCTAAAAGTCACGTTCTCAGCGAGGCACGTACAAGACAATGCTAACGTTAGCGGGCATGGGATCTTAAGCAAACTACATCCGTCTAGATGCATTAACCGCATGTTAAACAGCAGCTCGACCGCCATTAATGGAGAACCTAGGAGAGAAGCGCGCGGCGGGTGGAGGTGAAAGGGCTCGCTTCCTCGTGAACCTGTCTAGCGGACTGCTCGCACGTGTTCCCTCGAGCCTGCGTGGTGGACAACTCGCATGTGTGTCGTCGAGCTTGCGCGGCGGACTGCTCACACGCGTTCTGTCGAGCTTGCGCGACGGACTTCTCTCACTCATCATGTCTAATCAAACAATTGCACGCACGACACCTACTATTGTCAAATTTATGATCAAATTTTGGCACAAAATACAAAGAGGACCAGTAAACCAGGACGGAGGCAGTACTCCCCAATAAAAAGTGGGACGCGTAGCGCGCGTAAATGGGTACGTAGTGCAACGCCCATGGTTCAAACAATACAACAGTTTGCGATAATAACGTGTCAAATATTTGTTCCAAAATACCCATGTTGGCCATTAATATGTGCACCTGGTCTTAAATTGGACAAAAAAAATTTATCACGACATATATGTGATATGTCATGACACGATGTCAAGTTTCATGAATTTCAGACGAGTTTTGAATTTATGGGGACTTAAAGTCATATTTTTCAGTGTTTGAGGCTGAGCCAGGACTCCGATATGTTTGTAATTCATTATTATTTCTTATGGACCTGAACATGCAGCCAAACTTGCAAGTGCGTGGTTCTTTGTATATGCAGTAATGGTTTCCATTTAAATCTTGCTAACCATTGGAAGGTGATAAATTATCCTGCCCTTTAGTCCAAGTAAGTGGACGGTTTAGAATCGTCTGGAACCACTCAAAATTTCTCTTCAATTACACAACGGATGCAGGATGAGCTTAACTACTAAACGGAGAGATCACAAGTGACATCCTTAAGAACAGTGCCAATCAGAACCATGGTTATGGTTCCATAATTACAAGATAAACGGTTTCCTGTAGATGTCGAATGCTTCGGACGCGCACAGGTAATGCATGGGTTAGAAAGGCGTCTCTGTTTTGGTAATTACAACGGAAAAAAATGCAGATTTGATGACATACAGGAAGGTGGATTTGATTTTATTAGAAATAGGCAGTGGGAGGTTTCATGTTGCGGTTCTTTGGTGCTCGCCGCTGGTCCAAGTACATTTTCTTCGGCGTTATGTACGCCGTCGATGGAGAGTCAAAGGCGATGGCTTTGTCGGGATCAATCAAGTCCCGTCACCCACTGGCCATCTCCTTTTAGGCATTCAAAGGTGGTTGGTGCGTCGACAAGGGAGATCCGGGTTCAGCTGTTGCTCTTCGAGGTGACGACGTCGTCGGTAGAGACGCAGCTTAGATGTTTTTGCTTAGGGCAGGCTCCGTGCGTTATGTTGTAACGTGGGCGGGGGTTAATCTTTGGATTAGTCCGGTGTGTGCTACTCTTGTTGTTCGCAACAAGAAGTAGAGTCTTGTAATTGTCTTCTGCCTTCTATAAAAATATGGTACGCCGTGGTGTACTCTCGAAAAAAAATATGCAGTGGGTAACAGTATCATTGCTGAACTTTCTGGTGGATTCTTAACCGAATTTTGGACACTAAATGTTGGAGAGTTGCTGTGCCGAATGTTAGACAGTGACTTAACTGTGGACACTTTTTGATAGAAGTTAATCTTATCACATTAGTATTTCTCTTTAATAGTTGATAAGTGCCCATGTGTTGGTGCACTGTGTGTGAGGGGATGGCATGTAGTATGTGTTACTGTCGGCCGTCCTTGCGTCTGCTAACCTCAACTCTAGGGACTCGCCACCGCCGTCCAGCCCTGGGGCTCGCCGCCATCCAGCTTGCGCACTGCGACCGCCGCGGTCAAAAGGGGAACGACGGTTAGTCATTTGGGGGGCCGGATCGTTTTACTGTTGTGTCCGACCAGCTTAGGGCTTTCTTTGTGAAAAAGTAAAAAAGAAAGGGGTTTTCCGCCAAATTTCACGGACCCGCGTGGCTGCACACCTTTATACGCTGGCACGCTCGCTGACAATGTGTCCCACAGAGACGTTGGCATCCTAGTCAGGAGTGCGGACCAATGAAAACGTGATTTGAACTGTATTTGCACCAAAGAGCAAGTTTTAGCACCAGTTTGATGTATTCTTCAAATTCATGCATCAAAGTGAACATTGATGGCACGTTCAGACACTACTGGTATAATTACCTCATTACAGAACGGATGCAGGATGAGCTTGACTACTAAATGGAGAGATCACAAGTGACACGCCTAAGATCAGTGCCAATCAGAACCACGGTTATGGTTCCATAATTACAAGATAAACGGCTTCCTGTAGATGTCGAATGCTTCGGACGCGCACAGCTGAGGCTCCTGCAAAATTGATTGATGGAAGTTGAGGATGAATGAATGCTTGCGATTTGAACTAGTTAACCTTAGTTAGTCGCAACAGTAATACTAATAAGAGTAGCTAATTGATGGACAGGATTACCTGTGCGCTGCTGAAGGTGATGACCCGGCGGAAAAAGGAGCCGATGGGCCCAGGGATGCCGGAGTCACCGCCGTTGTCGCGGATGGTGGCCCGCATGGCGCTGAGCAGGCGACCGTAGGTGGTGCCCGGCTCAGACTCCACCGCCTTGATGAAGCTGTACGTCATGGCACCGGTGGAGGTGGAGCCCAAGAACGCCTTCCTGTCTGACTCTGCCGAGGTCTGGCTGTCCCCGCAGCCGCTGAAGGAGATCGCCAGGCCGCCGCTAGTGCCCTTCTGCGCGTCCGGTTGACGGTTGTGGTTCTCCCATTGCCAGTACCCAGTTCTTGATTCCACAGAGGAGAAAATTATTTTTCACCAAGGCAAAGCTACCGTCCGTGTACTGGAAATTAACTGGGAGTAGATTAGATGGTGTACATACGCACCTGGATATGCGACAGAGGTAGGGGAGGTCGAGGATGGTGCCGCTGTGACAGGTATCGATGATGGCGTGGAGCTTGACACCTGCGCCGAGGGGCCGGACGATGCTCTCGTTGATCTCGTCGTCAAGGATCACGCCGCGGTCCTCGAAGTCCTGAGGGCAGAGCGCCTCGTCGTAGCCGTCCACCTCGTCGCCGTTGTTGTCCAGCTTCTGGACGCCGTGGCCGGAGAAGTGGAACACCAGGGAGTCGCCGGAGGTGCAGCCCTCCACCAGCCACCGCATCGCCAGCCGGATGTTGTCCTTGGTCGGCCAACGGCACGGGTCCTTCTCCTCCTCTGTCCATGGGATCATGGGATCGGGTGGATGCTCACTTTACGTACGTACGTGTTCAACTTTGACGAAAATAATTGGTTTCTTGTTTGCTTAATGCTTACGCGTGAGGGCGAGGATGGAGTCGTCGGGGAAGCTGAACCTCTGGCGGAGCAAGTAGGCCATGCAGTTGACGTCGTTGACGGTGCCTTTGAGCTCGTACTTGGTGAAGCTGTAGCTGATGCCGACGAGGAGCGCCCGCTTCTTGCCGCGGGTGCGCGGGTAGCTGGCCGGCAGGCTGTACGGGTCGCCGGCACGCATCGACCCGGACGACGCGGGCGGCGGCGGTGGCGGCTGCGACGGAGACCCGAAGAGCAGGCCCTTGATGAAGCCCACGGCCTGGTGCAGGCCGCCGTTCTGCTGCGGCCGGCGCTCCACGCGCGTCGTGGTGTGGCAGAGCGCGCACCGGACGGAGCGCGCGCCCGGCGGCGCGGAGATGGACGCGCCGCAGCGGCTGCACCATGTTGTCCGCGCCTGCAGCCTTGAGCTCGCCATGAATGACATACGTGAGTAGCTAGCTAGCTAGACAGGCGGCATCAAGTGAAGAAGGTGGTATGAAGGTGTTTCTGCGTAGGAGCATTCGATGTGGATTCGAGCAGTGGACCCTGTTGCGGTGTGGTGCGTTGTGGGTGGCCATCCTATGGCAAGGTGATGGTACTGATGCTGCCTTTCGGTTCGTCCATATGCATGGCTGCTTTATTCCGACGAGCATTCGATGCTTCATAGCGACGTGCGGGTAAGAAGGAATCGTATTTCATACTAGGGGTAGCGCGTGCTTTGCCGTGCAGGTTCGTTAGTTGGTGGGTCTGTTTATGACACATTTAAATGTGACATAGTTACGTCACATTTAAACTGATATTCATTCCATAACTGGTTTACTTTTTTTGTCCTAGTTTTTTTTCCTTATTGCTGTATTATATATTTGTGAGATGTGACATTCTTAAAAAACATCTAGCTGTGATTTAGACAAACGGTTAGTTGTATATAATTAATTTCATTTTTTCCTCATTGGTTATTATAGCAGCTCATAATTCCACGCATACAACTAATCCGTGCATACGACGGAGTCGGTCAAGCAAACGCGGACCCAAGGGCCGTATTAGCAAAAATGGTACATATACAACCCATTTTAGTGCACTGAAGCATGTGTTTGTATTTTAAATTTAAATTATGCACATTAAATGCCTAATAACTCAATTAGTGTATAAAAAAGGTCAAACAAATCCTGAATAATTCCATATTTCAGCACAACACTCCCTTTCATCTATGTTGCCTGTAGGAAAAAATATCCAAATCAAGAAGAGGTAGTGAATTCGTTTCGCCTACAAGGGTGCTATGTTCCCTATCACAACCGCGGGACTTTGTGGGAAAACTCCAGTTTTTAAGAGACTTGTACAAAAACTTGCCTCAAATTGGACAACAAAATTACCACGACATATATGTTTTTTACCATGGCATACGTTTCATGAATTTCAAGTGAGTTTTAAATTTACGGGGATCTAAAACCAAGATTCTCAATGTTTGAGGATGAGCCAGGACACCGATATGTTCTTACATGTGATCAAAACACGCACTCAAGGACACATATATGATTTTTCAACCCATTTTGGTGCACTGGAGCATGTGCTTGCATTCCAAATTTAAATTATGCACATTAAATGCCTAGAAAACTTAATTAGTATATAAAAAATAAAACGAGCCCTGAATAATTCCATATTTCAGCACAACACTCATATTGGTCTATGTTGCCTATAAAAAAAATCCAAGGCGAGAAGAGGTAACGGATGTCATTTTGCCCACAAAGTTGACACGTTCCCTACCGAAACGACGAGACTTCTTGTGGGAAGCTCCAGTTTGTAAGAGACTTGTACCAAAACTTGCCCCAAATTGGACAAAAACTTTACGACGGCATATATGTGCCATGTCATGACATGATATCAAGTTTCATGAATTTTAGATGAGCTTTGGATTTACGATGATTTAAAAATTAAGATTCTCAATGTTTGAGGCTAAGGCAGGACGCTGAGATGTTTGTAATTCATTCACATTTCTTGCATGGGACTTAAACATGCACACAAGGACATATATATGATTTTTCAACCCACTTTGGTGTACTGGAGCATGTGCTTGTAGTTCAAATTTGAATTATGCACATTAAATGCCTAGAAAACTCAATTATAGTTTATAAAAAAAGCCAAGAAAACTCTGAATAATTCAAAGACATTCTGGTTAACTGTTTGGCACCCATGGGTGAGCATTGTGCACACGCGTCGTGCGAGCTCACGCTTCCTTCTTCCCTATGTTTTCTATATTAATGGTGTTATATATCGAAACACGTCACCATTTCCCACCAGTCCCCCAATCAGTTTCCCACCACTTCTCCTTTTTTTAGAAGAACCCGCCACTCCTCCCTTTTTTAGAAGAACCCGCCACTCCTCCCATCGGTTTCCCGCTGCCAGCGTTAATGGCCATAGAAGGCTAGGCAGCAACACATCATCTGTACCGCAGTATACCATTCCAAGCATGCCATTCCGGTGAAGCGCCACCCTCCTCATCAACCTCATCGACGAGGAGAATGAGCCGGAGCAGGAAGGAGAGCAAGAACGGTCGTGCGCCACCGAGCAAAAGCGGCAGCGCTCCACCGAGCATGAGCGGTATCATCACGCCCTAGTGCTTGAGCAGGCCAATGTCTACACATGTGTTCGTCGCCGCCCATGGAGCGGAGCGGAGCAAGTGGCAAAGCGCTGTCGCGCAAGAGTAGAAGAATGCCGCCGCACATAAGGTACGGTGCACAACACTATTTGAGCGGAGCCGTGTTAGCACCATGTTGACTCAACCACTCGAGATTGCATATAGTTTATAAGAGCACAAACATGTGTGTTAGTAGGGAGTAGGTACCACACGGTGACCATCGGGAAACGCCTTAAACGCGAGGAGGCAACACTTATCAGCAAGGTGCAACTTCCCATCCGCTAGCTGAGTTGAATAGAACACACAGGTTAAGCGTGTTGGGGCTGGGGCAGTCTAATGATGGGTGTCCGGGTGGAAAGTTGCTATACCTCAAGCTTCATTTAAGCCATATGATATGGTCATTACAGACATTTAGCATAGTGACTTGCCATGTCGATTAAATAAAGCTTGAAATCATTGTTTTAAAAATGTGGAGAATCATTGTTTTGTTATTTGTTGTTTCCAAAAGTTAGAGAATGATCAAGATCTGTGGGCCCGAGTGATCTACCCCTTTGACCCACAATGTACAAGAAGGGTTTAACCATTGCAGGTTCCTCTTGGTCTGTGTTACAATAGGTATGGTGGCATGTCATACCAAATTAAGTTTGAATACACGCGTTGGATTCCCTCCCGCCGGCTCGAAGATTGGGAACCGACACTATATGTCTTGAACCATCTGTCTTCCTGGGGGTACGTTGTTTGGTTTGTAATGCAGTCAGTGCCCCTTCAAAGCTTATATTGCATAATCATTGCCTTGGATATCGTCATAACTTTGCGCTTTTCTATCAATTGCTTGACAGTAATTTGTTCACCCACCATGTTATTTGCCTTCATGAGAGAAGCCTCTAGTGAAACCTATGGCCCCCGGGTCTATTTTCTATCATATTAGTTTCCGATCTACTATTTTGCAATCTTTTATTTTCAGATCTATAAACCAAAAACCCAAAAATATTTTATCTTTTGTTTAGTTCTATCTATCTCTATCAGATCTCTTCTTTGCAAGTGACCGTGAAGGGATTGACAACCCCTTTATCGCGTTGGGTGCAAGTGTTTGATTGTTTGTGTAGGTGCATCTATTGGGGACTTGCGCGTTTCTCCTACTGGATTGGTACCTTGGTTTTTAACTGAGAGAAATACTTATCTCTACTGTGTTGCATCACCCTTTCCTCTTCAAGGGAAAAACCAACGCAAACTCAAGAAGTAGCAATAGCCATGATAACGATCATTTCCTCTCTTTTACAGGATCTCTAAGATGAAGAAATTGGATGAAGGGAACACTTTATCTTTGTAGCTAATTTTATGTTCATGGGTGTTTACAAATATGGAATGGTTGTTATATACTTCATACCAACACTTTGGTAGTTGTTCTAAATTCCTGCATGATGTGAACTATGGCATAATAAACTCATTTTGGTCGTCATTTGTGAAAATTTGTGTGATTAGGGCTCTGCTGACCAAAATATTGATTATTTATTGTTGATACATCGGAAATGAAGCAAATACTATTTGGGCCCTAAAAAGTCCACAAATCAAACAATTCAGGGAAAAAATGAACAAAATCGCTAAAAATTCAATTGTGAAAAGGTGAAGGCCAAGAAAATAAAAAGGCCTAGGCCCAAAAAAATAGATTGTAAAATGACCATGGCCCAAAACTAACGAGGCTGAAATGTTGGATGTTGGGCTTGGCCCATGCAGCTCAATGAAATTGACATGATTTTTTTTTATAAATAAGCTGAATTTGTTGGGCTCGGCCCATGTAGAACACCAAATTGGACGGTGCTGATTCTAATCTATGACCAATTCATTTGGTCGTAATTTTGCCACGTGAGCTTGCCACATTGGATCCGACATGACCTGGACAGACTGCCAGTGACCAAAACAATTGGTCTTAGAACCAACGACCTTTTTTTTTGGTTGTAACCTTCTACGGCCATATCAAAAGAAGGTCGTTAAGTTTCATTAAAGATGACCAGTTTTTAACCAACTTTGTTGGTCACAAAAAGGTTGTAAATAAAAAACAATGACCATTCAGTAACCAATATTGATGGTCGCAAGTTGGCATATTTTTGTAATGTTTGTACCTTGTGGCCACAAAGTATATCACTGTTGTTGTAAAGGTTTAGGACACAAAGGTAATTCGAGGTGACAGTAAAAGCCTAATGCTCCTATCCTTTACAATTGGTCGGGGAATTACAGAGAACCCTTAGAGAGGTCGCGTCCACACGGAAACTCTTAATTATTATGAGTTGTAACCCTCTGGGAGATGATGGTGACATGTGTGGCATGAAGTCTACCATTAGTACAATGTGTATTGTACCCGGCTTCGCCCAGCATAATCGTCAAAAGTGGCTTAAGTATCCGGTCTATACTATGCTTATGCATATAGTATGCGCTAGAAACATACCAATGGGGGATTTTGGACTCCCTGAGAATGCCTTTTTATTCAGTTGTTTCACTAGTCATCAAAACTATTGGTGTTTATGGTGCTGCAAAAGGAAAATGATCAATTTTTGAAATATGAAAGGATCTTGGAAATTAATCAATTGATCTTGCAAAATCATCAATTGAGCTGAGCTGTTCTTTTGTCTTACTCTACCCTTCTAGTTAGTACCTTGACCCATCATCAATTGAGCTGAGGTGTTTTTGTCTTACTATAAGCTCTCAGCTCGGTCAACCTTACGGCGCTATTTATAGGCCAACTCGCATGTGTTGTGCCATGCAGTTAGCTAGGATATACAACTGTGCAACAAATAGCTAGCGTGCATCTGAGCGTACGTCATTATCCTTCCATGGCACCAACGGCCGGTGGCGTAGTACCGGCGATGCCACCCCGTGTAGTCCACGGTTGTTTAGCATACTTATTAATGCTAGCTATCCATATGGCTGCATGCATCGCCGAGATGCAGAGGCCAGGGTAATATCCTCATTTTCTAAAAATATTAATACTAGCTATCCACATAATATCTTAATAGAAAAAAGCATCTTCGCATACAAAGGGGAACAATCGACTTTTTATTTTGCATTTTTAATAGGTTAGACTACCCACAGTGGGAGTCATAGATAGTAACATCACACATATCTAGATAAAATAGATGATGTGGCAAACAATAGATGAAGAAAGTGATACATGTGGTAACATAGCTAGTTACTACTAGTATGGGTAACATCACACATATTAAGGCAAGATGAGTCTATAGCCTAATAAATGAAGTGTTGCATGTTATCACACATATGTTACTCCTCATTATAGAGGTAGTAACATAGAGTAGTAACATGAGCATGTTACTACTCTATGTTACTACCCATTGTTGCCAGCCTTATGTCACTCCCAATGCTCCATCTTGTACAGGTGCTAAGGCTGTCATGTAGGCAAAAAAATCTGATGTGGCAAGGTAGTTATCAGGAGAGAGATGAGTATGATGACCCCAGAAAAAAACAATGTCAAGCGCGAGAACCTAGGCAAAACAATTAAATTGAAGAAGCCTACCAATGCATGAAAAACTTTAGTTGTAAAATCATTAAATGAAGGATGCTTAGCACCAACAAGTTAAGCACCTATGCATTAGGGGCTTTAGGCTAGCCATAGTGGGAGTAACTTAGGTAGTAACATAACCCACCTCAAGACATGTATGCTTATGTGGCATGGAGTTAATGAGGAGAGAGGTGTTTGTAGTAACATAATATGTTACCGTAACATCACGCACCCCAATGCAAAATGAGTCTATAACATAATAAATGAAAGCTTGCATGACATTACACTTATGTTACTAGCCACTATGATGGTAGTAACATAGACTAGTAACATGCATATGTTACTAGTCTAAGTTACTGCCCACTATGACTAGCCTTAGTTGCTAAAGTTTGTAATGTGCTTAACACCTCATGTAAGCACCCATACATTGAAAGTAGCCTTAGGGAAGTGCAGAGACAAAAATATCCATAATTGGGGTTTTCTGGTCCATGTTATTCAGCAAATTAATGAGTACTATTCACTAGCCATGTCCATAAACGTGTATACTGGCAGGGACAAAAGTAATGGACTGGTGTTTATGGTACTGTCTGGCACTATAATCAATTGAGATGAGGTGTCATTTGTCTTACTCTACGCTCCTAGCTTGGACCCTCACTCGGTCAATCTTTCGGCGCTATTTATATGCCAGCTCCCTGTTCTGGGTCGCGCAGTTAGCTATAGGCTACCATTGCACAACAAAAGGCTATTGTGTATCTGAGCATAATCCTTCCATGGCACCGACGGACGGAGGTGCAGCGCCGGCGATGCTGCAATTCCTCCTCTTCACTCACCTCATCGTTGCCACCTGCAGCAGCGGACAGGTCCAATTAATATTCCATATAGTTGTCAATTTAGCATATATTTGATCCAGTTAGTTATGCGAAATTCTCTAGAATTTATGGTTCCATCATCGCTGACATGACACCATCGTTGAGTAGGATCAGAGATCTGTATGCTACGTGGTATCCGAGATCCTCTTCACCTTTTTTTATTTTTCTTGGGGAAGAGAGACCAATTCATCAAACTGTACATCGATCTACTGTTGGTTGGTAGTGTATGTATGCTATGTGACCGTGTGGTGGAGGCCAGATGCACGCCAGATGCAGACGAGGCATCAGCCCGTGTATATAAGGGGACGACCCGCTGGCGGCTAAGGGCCCCTCAATAAGGTAACGAGATTCCTGGATCTTGTGCCGTTGTGGTGGAGGAAGGAAAGTGATGGCACGGACGGATGAGGCGGCCGACGAACTTGCCCTGCTCGCTAAAGCCGTTTCCTGGGCTCAGCCTGGCGTCCATAGCTTCCTCCTCTGGCGGTGTTGCTGCAAACGGTCATGTCCCCAGACACAGTTGGTTTGGGGATGTGTTGAAACCTATGTCTAGGACTGGATTACAATATAGTTTTGTTTTCAAGGGTTCTGTTTGCCGCTTCGTTTACAAGGGTCATGTTGCCTAATGTCTCGACCGGGCTCTAATTTTTAGTTTACTGATGAGTCCCGTCGCATGCGGTTCTTGAATGCTTCTAGTGTGATCTAATGTGAATCGGGGGTCCTTTGTGACCCTTCCATTGTTCAGAAAAAATGTGGATTGATTATTTCTTACCTACTAGTACCGTGTACAATGCATGTTTATATTAGGTAGTAGGATATTAGGTGCACATTGATCAATATTTTAAATAGCACGCTATTTCGCCGTTATAACGCGGTTGTAGCATATTTGGAAGGGAGATGTTACGTTTTGGCAAAATCAGACGCTACGACGCTAATCACGTAATTAGCGCGCTACACACGCTATAACGTTGTAACGTTGTAACGTTACAACGTGCAGACCATGCAAAACTGAAATAAGCACAGCCCAGCAGATCCAGCAGGCCAAAACCAACCCACGGCCACTAGCTTTCTCACTCCTTTTATCAGATTCTCCCACGAGACCTAACCGGCTAACCCTAGTTCTCACTTCTCATCCCTTTCTCACTCCTTTTTATGTGCTGGATTTGGCCCTTATGCATATATTGCTTGCTCCTATGAAAAATTTAGTTACTTAAATACTTTATTTCTAGATATATTTGATTTTTTTTTGCAAACGCTATTTTGAAATATAGCACGCTATTAGCGCGCTATAACTTGTTTAACATTTAGAGAAGGGCCTCGCTATATTTTGTAGCGCGCTATTTAAAATATTGACATTGATATGTGTGTTAAATGCGTTTGGTGCTCAGCGTTGAAGCGGTTTGGACCTTTAGATCCATGTGGTTTTATGTTTGAGATTTTTGGATCTGCTTCATTAATGCTTTTCAAATATTATTAATATACTCCTCTAAGAGTTCGGTGATCAGCCCTATCTGGTATACAAGTTAATTATTTTTGTACACTCCTCTAAGAGTTCGGTGATCAGCCCTATCTGGTTATATTTTTAACCAATATTAAATCGCAAAATTTGGCATAAAGTCAAACTGTGCAGACCAAATTTGGCGGAACTTCATATATTAGGGGAACTTCATATATTAGGCCAGTACTATAACAAGGAAATATACCTACTAGACTTAGCATCAATTAACTGTTAATTTGGGGCCAGTTTTATTGCAAATTCTAAACCTTACATCAGTTTGTAATAAATGTCCCAGTCCAAAATCACCTAAAATCTGCACCTAAAGCATGTTTGAATTAGCTGCTCTTTCAATAAGCACGTACCAGCTGTGGTTGCTTCTTCTTTGCCTACATCACAATACGCTTGTGCAATGAAACTTTTGGGTTTAATGATACAAACAAGAAAACGTTGGGTTTCTCATTACTGATACCACAACGTTTGGGGTTTTGTGTAAGTTACTCAATTGAGTATAAACTTACTTTGTCTTTTTGTCTTTTTCCCGTATGTATGCAGGGAGCAAATCTTGAAAGAACTCCTGGTGTGCCTATGGCCGTCCCCATGCCCATTCCAGCAATCACAGCTGACTCACCTGACCAGTTCCATGGAAAGCTTCGACTCCCACGTTTTGCTATGCCAACCCACTATGAGCTCCATTTCCACCCCGACCTCGTCTCCTCAACATTTTCTGGTGTGGTGTCAATTAATGTCTTTGTTTTAGCGCCCACTCGTTTCCTTGTGCTAAATGTTGTGGAACTCACCATCGACCATGCTTCCATCCACTTCAAGGTACACATTGATGCGCCGACCTGTAATGAAAGATTTACTCTCAAAAGATGCTTATTTCTTCAAAGTACATAATAAACGTCGTCTTCACCGGTGTCATGGTTCCTGGTTATTGCAGCATTTGGAGCCAACCGACGTGGTATTCTTCAAGGACGACCAGATTATGGTACTCGGGTTTCGTAAAGGGCTTCCACTAGGTGAGGGTGTGCTAAGTATGCACTTCAATGGCACCCTTAGTGATGAGATGAGGGGATTTCACAGAGGGTATGGGTTTCTTCTTGCATTTTTCTTTCCTGATATTTCCAATATTTTTAGAATAATTCATGCATGAAAGTATAATGTTGTTGATATAAAGTGTTGTATGAAGTTGCCATGCACCAACACACACACACACACACACACACACACACACACACACACACACACACACTGAAAAATCAAGAGTTGTATTAAGTTGCCATGCACCAAGATAAATCATGTTATTTGTCACCACCACGCATGTCGTTGACGCCAAAAGATAAGCACACACTCAGTGTCTATCTAATGGTCAAAACATCCATATAGATTCAATAATGTATATCAAATGGATCATTCTATATACAACAAGAGAGATAACAAATGAACTATTTGTTTCCATATGCTCAAAACCTTTTAGGACACCAAAGTCACTAGCTAGTGGTATCACTGCTAAAACTAAAAAATACACTAGCATTTGGCAAGTATGTGTGTACAACGTTTCATGATTTCTTATATGTATTACGCTTTCAGTAAATACCATTATAAGGGGGAGATGGCATACATGGCGTTCACAGTGTTTGAGCCCGTGAATGCGCGACGGTGTTTCCCCTGCTGTGATGAACCTGATTTCAAGGTGATTATCATAATAAGATTTATAGATTCTCTAGAGACTCAATCTATGATTTTTATTTCTTGAGCATTATTGTCCATTCACTCATAAGGTCGCAATATGTATGTATGTTCGAAAAATTGTAATTCCTCATTAGAAGTCTTAATGTTCCTCTCATATGTGTGCACCAGGGGCCTCAATGAGGTCATTTATATATTCTATCATTTTTCTCATGTTATTTCAAACTTTCAGGCTACGTTCAAGTTAACTTTAGAAGTTCAATCCGACTTGGTAGCTCTATCCAACATGCCTGTACTTGGTGAGATAGTGGATGGTTCTATCAAGGTTGTCCATTTTGAGGAATCACCCCTCATGTCAACTTATTTAGTTGCCATGGTTGTTGGTATTTTTGAATTTATAGAAGGTGTGACGTCACAAGGTATCAAATCCACTTTTGTTATCGCATTCACATCATCCTTTGAAATGTCGTTGCATTCCTTACTTTTACCACAATTCACCATTCTAATTATTTAGGCACCAAAGTCCGTGTGTACACTGAAGTTGGCAAGTCTAAACAAGGACAGTTTGCATTGGATGTTGGAGTGAAGTCATTGGATCTATATGATGAGTAAGATCATAACCTACCCCTGTAGTTAATTACACTAGTTGAAATAAGAACATAAGTCAATATAATCCCAGAGATAAGCTGACATGGTGTCCTAGTTTAAAAGCATACATATTTTCTACCAAAACATGTGTCACACATTATACTATACATGAAGTTACCAAGCAAAACATCTTGCACATGTTGTCAAGTGCACCTAGTATCTTAACCTGGGTATGCTCCTGATTGTGATAAAGTATCTCAAGATATGAATGTTAATGGATAGAATCCCTAACCAGGTGTTTATTTCCTGCCTGTCTAAGTTACTTTGAAACTCCTTATGCACTCCCTAAGCTGGACATGATTGGAATCCCTGACTTTCCTGTGGCCTTGGAAAACTTTGGATTGGTCACAATCGGAGAGGGAGGTTTGCTTTTGGATGAGACGTCTACAACATCCACCAAACAGCAGGAAGTAAGGACTGTAATTCAAAAATTTATTTTTGACCTTTCCAATCACCAGTTACTACTCACGATTTGAAAAATTATGGTATGTTACCCTACTTAACCGATGTATATGGCAATCACAGTTTTAAATAATGATAACGTCTGAATATTACACCTTTTTTCTTGATGATTGTTGTAATGTGAAGACATCCTTTGTTCATTGACCTCAACATCTATTATGTTTAGATTGCAGTTAATGTGGCACATGAATTAGCTCATCAATGGTGTGGCAATCTTGTAACCATGGAATGGTGGAATGACATATGGCTAAGTGAGAGATTTGCTACATGGGTAAGTTGATGATTAAAATATCATGAATTAAATACCAAGCTATTTATGCATGCTGAAAGCACTAGTTTTTAACAGATGAGCCATGAAGCAGTAGACTCATTTTTTCCTCAATGGAATATTTGGCTGAAATTTCTTGTGGGCACGGTTGAAACTCTTAGATTGGATTCAATGAACGGGTCTCACCCGATCGAGGTAATCACATTACTCGTTAATGTGTCATGGCATGTCATGCAGTTTAATTGTTATGAATTTCATATGGCATGGAGTAATGCGTCTACCAAAATAATCTATGGTGTAACTATATTATAGTTAAAATAAAAAATCTAGAGAATTTTCATTTTGACAATAGTAAATGATCATCATTTATATAAAATATTTTAATCTGACGTCCCTACAATATCATTTGTTGATTCAAGGTCGTCTCTTGAAAATTCCATGAAATATGAGTAAATTTTAAAAGTACACATGTAGAAAAAATTATTAGCAAAAATAATATTGAATTTCTTATTTTGCAGCACCGAAATGAACTTTAGTTGAAAATTTGAATGAACATTGTCTTAGCTAATTGTGATCAATCCATCAATATTTTCCTATAAGAGTCATGCACTCAAGTTACTATGTATTCATCCAACCTACAACCAATGCAAAAAAATAAGACATGCAACCAAACCTAGTTTAGCATGTCTAGATTGTGAATCTCACTTTGTATGTGTCATTCAAAAGAACACCATGAGTGTGCTTGTGAAATTTAAAGTATGCCTCATGTCCCAGAAGAAAATGCAAGGAATATTGTGTCCTCTCACTCGATTCAATTGAGGGGGGGGGGTCTAGGTGGGAGGGTGTATCCTTCTCATAAAAATGCTTTCACATGCTCCCCCAGGATGTTCTCCAGTGGGCATATGCTTCCCCATCAGGATACACCTTTCTGTATTGCCTCTTTTTTATTGACGCGACCCTTGCTCCCATGTCTCATGTTTAGTTTGAGCTCACCGTGGTAGTGTCAAATAAATTGGCTGAATAGAGCAATCATTTGTATCGCCTTCCACTCTTCTATATACACATCACTAAGCCCCACATATTCCTGTCTGGCTTTGCTAGGTGAGTATGAAAAAAAGATGATGCTTGCTAGTGCATGACAACACTACCATGGATTGTTTTATCCTGGATGGTTGACAACCGCTCACAATGATGGTTGTCCGACCGATCTGCTTTTGGTATTCACTTAGATGGGATCATGCCTAGACATTTATTAGTCCAGTTAGGATGGATCGCTATTTCAATTGTTCTTCTTTCAACCATCTTGTATACTAATGATGCTCCAGAGTTGGGGTGTGGGGGTAAGTCATAGATTCCATCGAGCCCTAGTTGGATATCGCACCCATGCTAATGTGGCGAAGAGGCCATGCCAGTGGTGGAGTTAACATGCTTCACATTACTAGCAAACCTCGTTCTACGCTACATGCCATGAGAACAATTGAGCACCGCTCTTGCAATTTATCTCTCTTCCCATTTCCATTTTTTTCTTGGAAAAATATCATAATATTTGTACTAATCATTAAAAAGGTCAAAAAAATTTATTAATAAATATCACTAGAGATTCTGAGTGTTAAAGACTCAATTTTGCGGCTATGTGCTTGATTTATCATGTGAGAGTATTCACAAGAAGAACGATCCTATAGATGTAAGAAGTTGTGTGGAACAAAGGTTACAGGTTGTGGTGGACTGTTGGTTTGTGTGGTATTACACCACCGAGACAGTTGGATAACAATTCTTTATAATTACCCCTTCCTTTCCGGTTTATTGGGCCTATCTCATTTCTTGTTTTTTCCATTTTTAAGTCCTACATTCACTTCTCTCCACCACATGTTAACATTCCGAGGCACATTAAATTGACGCATGCAAGGATTAAAATGAAACCAACGAAGGCATGTAACAATTCCTACTCATTTAGTGGCCACACATGCGTACATTATAGTTAAAGAAAATTAAAGTTTGAGTTGTTTTGCAAACTACAAGATACATTCCTCCACACACCATCTACTTTGGTTGATGAGATTTATGATTTGAGCCTTCTAAACCAGAAATCAAGGAGTATACACTAGAAGATTCTTTAGACAACATAGGTTTAACATATTGATAGCATGTTTTAAAACACCCATGTTTTGTACAATCGATGGTTGCTTAAAACATAATGTATTTCATTAAAAAATAGCTTCGAAGATGTCTGTAAGAAGGTAGGATTCTGTAATATGTTTGTGACATGAAGTCTAGGATGACATTCCCGGAGCGAAGCATCCAACCGAGTACATTACCATAGGGGGGGGGTATCGCTTGCCATGTATCTATAAAATCTAATGTCTAGTTTCTACTTTGATCATAATTTCCCTTTTTATGTGTAGTTTTGTTAAATATTTAGGTTGATACTAAAAATCTTTTAGTTGCATACATTATGTTAGACATCAGTTGTTTTGCTAATTTCATCAACACAAATTAAATTGGATGCATTAACATTTTAACGTATATCTAAATTATGACATGTAATTCCTTTCATGTTTCAATTTTTCTTCATCTATATGGTAGGTTGAGATACACCATACCAATGAAATTGATGGTATTTTTGATGAACTTGTCTATGTTAAAGGTGCTTCCATTCTTCACATGCTACAAAGTTTCTTGGGGGCAAAGCGTTTCCAGGTCTCGAATCTACTCTTATTTTTGTTGGTAGAACACACTTCAGAATGTTACTTAAAAGTGTACAAAGCAATTCCTTAAATTATGTGGTTCATCATATTCTAGAATGAAATTTTATTAGACCAATTATATTTCCGTAGTCTCGTAAAGTAAAGATTACTAAATTTATATGTGGGCATAATTGATTATGTTTCATGTATTTTCTATTGTTGGTTCTCTCTCCCTCTCTATCTCCTGTTTTCTTGATGTTGGTTGTATCTGCAAAATTTTCTCCCACTACACTATTCTACAGTGAACTTGAGAAACTATTGCAGAAAGCATTGGCTTCATATGTGAAGAAATATGCCTACTCGAATGCTAAAACGGAGGATCTATGGATAGTGATTGAAGAGGAAACTGGTGAACCATTGAAGGATTTGATGACTCCTTGGACGAAGGAACCAGGATATCCCGTGATTAATGTAAAACATGAAGGTGAACACATCCAACTTGAACAGGTAATCTTATCTAGAATGTATTCTTCGTTTGTTTTATGTTGTTCATCTATATCAAATTGCTAGCCGCAGAGTACTTACAACATGTATTATTTGTTTTGGATGTCTTTATTTATTTAGTTGACATGTTGTTGGTGTACCTTGGATTAGTGCTTCTCTAGAATTCCTATGAGCATCTATTCACTCACATTGAAAATAAGTGGACTAGACCTTTATTTTTGTTGCTTAATCCTATTATTTTTTGGAGGTGGTTTGGTAGAATTCCTCTGAAAAAGGAACTACAACATATTTTGGGGAATATCATGTAGTCCCTATATTGATATATCCAAACCAACAAAAAACTAACAACATAATTATATAGGGAATCATGTTGTGCAAACCTTGCAATGCTAAGCCAAATTTTCTTCCCCTCTTATACAAATTACTCTATAATATTTATTACATGCGGAGGTAGCGGTGTAGCCCAGACCTCGAGTTCATGCAGAGGAGTGGGCCAGAGGTACATTTTCTAGATAGTAGACGTCGCACAAGGAGAGGCTCTACAAAAGTAGTGATGGCGTCAAGGCTGTGAAGTGGACTTGAGGGGTGCATTCCATGACCTCTATGTCGCAGAGAAGGCTAGGGACTCATTTAATCAATTTTAATATGTTACGTTTCTTCACATATATTGTTTATTTTCATTACAGGCCCAGTTTGATTTAGATGGATCCTCTCGATCTAGCTTGTGGGATGTGCCAATAACACTAAGATGTTCCTCATCAACAGAAAAGTTCATTTTGAAACATAAGCATGATAAGGTTGATTTCTATTGTAAACGGCAGAAGGATGGAAATATTTGGATTAAGTTGAACATAAATGAAACCGGATTTTACCGAGTGAAGTATGATAAAGAAATTACAGCTACACTTCCATATGCATTAGAGGCCAGTGAGTTCTCTTCAATGGAAAAAATTGGTATGCATAAGATCTTTCACTATTAAGTTTTGTTTGCAATATGTGGGTGATAGCATACTATAACAGCCGTTTTCCAGGAATTTTGGACAATGCACTTGTGCTTTCCATGTCCTACGAGCACAGACTAGCTTCGTTGCTACATATAGTTTATGCTTGTCGTGAAGAAGCTGACTACAATGTTCTCCCACATATATGTGATGTATGTATATTCTAGTTTTCAACCTATTTCCACTATAGTCTTTTATACATATTAACTATCTATGTATTTTCCTATGGCTTTGCAGATAACTACAAGCGTTTCCCAAATAACTTTTGATGCCACACCTAACTTGGCTGGTGACATCAAACAACTTCTCATCAAAATTCTTTTGTCACCTACTCTGTATGACATGTCATTGTTTTAATCTTACGTTAACCACTACATGTTTACTTAAATATTCCTATTTCATGGCAAATGTACACTCTAGCATATATATAATATTTTAATTATTACTATATCTTAGCTATAACCTCATTTGTGTACTCTTCTTTTTCAGAAAGTTAGGCTGGGACCCCAAGGATGGTGAGGGAGACCTACTTGTTCGTCTTAGAGAAACTCTCTTGGTTGCCCTTGTCAAACTTGGACATGATCAAACCATTAATGAAGGTGTTAAGCGCTTTCACATATTAAAGTGTGATCACAACTCTTCTATTCTTTCTCCACACTCTAGAAAGGTTTAATATTTTTCTCTTACTTCACATGGTCCTCCTATATTGCTTCTTCCATTTTTGACGTGTAATTTACTCTAGGCTGCATACCTCTCTATGATGAAAAAAGCTAGTAGCTTAGACAGATCTAGCTATGATGATCTTCGACAATTCTACAAGGACTTGGGAGATGGGGTGGAAAAGCGACGCATCTTAGGTACATAACTATTTTACCATCCTAAATTAAAAATATTCTTAATGATGCTTGTTCGTTGTCTTCAAAGAATCCTCTAACTGTTTCTAGGTGTATTGTCTTCTTGCTCGGATATGGATATTGTTTTGGAGTCATTGAATTTAATATTCACTAATGAGGTTGCCTATAAACCTATTTCCTCCTTCCTCAGTTATACATGACTAAAACAATCATGGAATATAAATTACATTTAGGATTCACCTTTCTCTCCTCCTCGTAGGTCCCAAATCAACATGCACTTGATGTACTTAATGGTATTACAATAGAGGCACGTGAAATTGCATGGAGCTGGTTGAAGGTACATTCTATTTTATTGAGGATGGTGGGAGTGCCGTTTAGAAAGTTGAAACTTTTCATCATTATATGAAAATTTTATTACGTGGGAATTACTAAGTTTAGAAGTACAATCTTATCTAAGTGCTTGGCAACATCCACATGTTTTTTGTGAATACGACAAGATGTTTGAATTAAAATGCGTGGACACAAATTTGTTTATGTCGATGCATAATAGAGTAGGTAGAGGCCATTATTTAACCAAATCTGAAAGATTATTGACCTATTACCATGTCGATAATTGTATCATCACTTAAGAAGACTAAAACATTAATTGGCGCCAAGTAGGTGCACCACAAGAAAGATTATTAGTAAATAGCACAATACATTCTAAAAATCTTTTCTAAAGTTATTTTTATATGCCCTAGTTTGAATCAACGTATGAAATTTATTCACTTGACACCAAATTTTGAAAAATGCATTATTTCCCTATATCATGTATTTGCCTGGTATATGGTAAATGCTTCACGTCAATATTTCTAGGTCATCAACTTTTTTAAAACATCATCCTTATATCCTCAAATTTGTGTCTTTACTTCCATTCGCAGGAAAATTGGGATCGTATCTTGAAGGTTGTTCCTAAGAAGGACCTATGGCCGAGTATTGTTGACGACATTGTTCCATTGGTAAATTCACAGGAACTTCCTATGCCCTGATTTGGAAATTTATATACTTTTAATTAAGACTGTTTCTAATGTGCACTACCTTTTTGTGTTAGTTCAACTCTAATGATAAGGTATAAGAGATCATCAAGTTCTTCACAAAGTACCCAGAGCCGAATCTGCAACATGTGCTACAAAACAAGCTTCGTATGGCACACATCAATATAATATGGATTCAGGGTGTCAAGAGTGAGCCCATGCTTGAAAAGACGGTGCATGAACTACTTCACAAGCTCTAATGTGGGTATTCTGGTAGCGTTATGATTATTATAATGCACTGTCATAGTGAACCAAGAAGTTGCTTCCTTGTTGTACTATTATGGTTCGCAATAAAATGCTATGCTTCCTTATTATGTATACAAGATGTCTATTTTGGCTTGTATAATGTTCAAAAGGCATGAAGATAAACATGTAGAATTGAAGAAAACTATAGTTGTAAATAAGAGAATGCCTAGGGTGAAATATTGTTCACATCAATCAAAATAAAATTTTATTGCACCCAAAGATGAACAAATCATTCCAGAAATATCATAGGCAAGGTTAAGGGTATGTTTGAGAGAGATCCAAAAGCCAACTCCTCTAACATTCACTGGTGCGCGTCGGTGCTATACAAATGATTTTTAACCCCTTTCCGCGACGGCATTTGAAACCGTCGCCAAGTGAGTGTGGGCAATAGGGGGGTCCTTCCCACACGACCTAGAAACCATCGGGGATAGGCCCTCCTAGCACACAGGCTGGGGCAAAATGAGCTCGTGTGCGGTCGGGCGAGGCATCGAAATCCAATCCTTTCCTTTCGTATTACATCCCACATGGTGAATCCCAGAAAAACATTTTCGTTCGTATGTATATCACACACAGTCATTCCAAGGAATACATTCCCTTTCTTATGTACATCGCACACAGTCAATCCAGGGAAAACGTTTCCGTCCGTATGTACATCCCACGCAGTTTTATGTACAGGCTCGTGTGTGAAAGGTGTAACTATCACACACACTCTGCCTTGGTTAACTGTTTGCTTTTATCAACTACTCCCTCCGTCCGGGAAAAGTTGTCACCAGCGTAGTTCAATTGTAACTTTATAGAAAAACCCTTTTCATTTTAAATCTAGTTCTAATCAGCCCTTCTTCCTCCCCCGATGCCCGCCGGCACCGCACGCTCCAGCCTCTGTCTCCCCCCGTCGCCCGCGAGAACCGCGTGCCCCAGCCACGGTAGGACCAGCTGGTGATGAAGTCCCACTTGCGCCGCCGGCCACCTGCCCCGCAGCTTCCATCTTGCGCCGCCCCTGCCTAGCTTCGCCACCGCCCACCTGCTCCTTCGCGGCGACACCTCGACGGGCGGCGATTCCACGGCTCACGGGCGGCTCTACTCGTCGTTCTGCTCGCATCTCCGGTCACAACCCCGGCGCGCCAAGGCCAGGCACTCTGCTGCGGGGGTTGGGCAAGACCCCGGGCAGCCGCTGCTCCACCGCTGTGCACCGAGGTGACCAGCGCATCCACCATAGGGCCCAGCGCTGCCGCCCACCTGCTACAAAGGCGACCACCGCCGCCCACCCTCTCCTCCTCGCCGATTTCTTCTTCTTCTTCTTCGTCCAGGCGACCCAACTCCTCGTCGCCGCCTCTTTTGCTACTGAAAGGTAGCCAGCGCCCTGAAATCAGTGTCAAATTGATGTTAATTTGTTGTGCAGATCAAATTGATGTCAAATTGAGGTGAATTAGAGTAGCAGAATATCAAATCTAGTCTGTAATTTGATGAGCGGATCATCCTGATGTGCTAGAGAGCCTTCATATATGCAATGAACAAATTAAAGTTCAGAAATTGTTCAGCAATGAATTTATCCAGTCAGCAATGCAGCATTGAGGCTTCACTTCAGTACATGAAAATTTTCTGTCAATTTTCAGCAATGCAGCATAAAAGATCAAATTTACTGAATTTGTTTCCAGTTTTCACAGTTTTGACATTGACTAGTTACTGGTTTCTCATTGACAAGTCAGACTTGACAGTAGTAAAGATCTAAATTACAGAGGGCTTATTTACCCAAAATCACACTTGATAAAAAAATCATGGATTGTTGTTAACTGAAAATTAGTGAAAGGAACTGCTGCTGATCATGGATTACTGTTAATTAAAAATAGAGCATATGGCTTGTCTTATCATGGTGATGAGAACTGCTGCTGATCAGTGATTGTTTATTTTCAGTAGATAAAGTTTATTTTCAGTAAACAATGCCAAGTTTCTTCTCAGTACATCAAGTTTATTTTCAGTAAATGTAGAGCTATTGCTAAAGGAACAACCACTAGATAGAAAATATGTAGAGCTATTTTCAGTAAATGATCTGTTTTGTTACTAGGAGTAGTCCTTATCTGAATAATTGTGAGCAAAAATGGGAGTAGTGCTCTAGAAGGACCAGCACCACTATCCTACAGTTTAGTCTAATCAGTCAATATCTAGTGGAGTAGCAACCAACAGAAGCTCATGTCTCACAAATTCAAGTTTGTACATTGGAGTAAACAGTAGATGCACAAAATTTAAGTTGCTGTACAGTGAAGTTTAAGTGAACAATCTTGCATGGCATCCTTTGTGGCCGTGGCAGCCTTTTTTCAAAATGTACAAACTGGACATTTCTGAACATTTGCATAACTAGATCAACTAGGGTAGCAGGAATAGACATTGCTGCTTTTAATTTTTTTCAAACTAAGTTATGTGTTTAAAAAGTGCACAATTATGCAATAAACTGCAGTACACTGAATTGTGCTCCGAATAGCGCACAATAGTGCATAATCTATTTGTCTTTTGTGCACTATTCCAAACTGAAAACTGTAGTAAACTGAAGTTTTTCTTGCTGCAATGAAAATTAGAGCAGCACTTCACTAGTAATCAAAAGAGCACCTTACACGGTTAATTTATCTTAACTAAGAGTTGATAAAAACATGTCCCTCAAAATAACATTCAGTAAATGCATTCGTTCGCAGCATACACACGCTCCCCTGTTAAGTTAACTGAATTATTCAGATTAAGTTAACTGAATTTGGCTAGGGTGTCTACAGCAACAGCAGCTAATGGTTTTTCTGAATCAGCAGAGCATTTCAGCAAAAAGTAAAAACACCACAGAAGAGTGAATTGCCTGCTGTAAAATAACTGCGCCCAGAGATTGCTTTGGTGAAACTGTACTGATCAATGCCTACAGGTGTACAAACATCGTACACATGCGAGTAGAATTGAGAATCAGAATTGCGACGCTCAGGCATAAAAAAACATTCAGCACAAGTGCATGCACCTTGTTGATGAGATTATCCTTCTTGAGGATGTAGAGCAAGATCCAGCCCACCACCGGCATCTCGAGGACCCACACGAAGATCTTCACCAGAAGCCCGGCGACCTGAGGAGCTGCTCGCCGGAATTTAGCATTCAACAACAACAAGAAAAGAGGATGAGAATTCATAATTCAGCAGCAACAAATGTCAAACCTTTGGCATTGGTATATATAGCAACCGCCGTGACCCGACGAATACTGTAATTCAGCAGCAACCACTGACGGGGCAGGCCTCATTGTCCTCCTCCTTGTCCAGGGGGGAAGCCCCAGCAACGAGCCGTTGGTGCTCCCGCCCTCCGACGACACGGACATGGTCTGTCGATGGTTCTTGGGAAGGGGAGGGTGATCGCGGCGCGGGGCGGAAGGGAGCGACCGGAGGTGGTCCTGGTGGTGGGGAGGGTTGAAGGAAACATGCCCTAGAGGCAATAATAAAGTTATTATTTATTTCCTTATTTCATGATAAATGTTTATTATTCATGCTAGAATTGTATTAACCGGAAACATAATGCATGTGTGAATACATAGACAAACATAGTGTCACTAGTATGCCTCTACTTGACTAGCTCGTTAATCAAAGATGGTTAAGTTTCCTAACTATAGACATGAGTTATCATTTGATTAACGGGATCACATCATTAGGAGAATGATATGATTGACTTGACCCATTCCGTTGGCTTAGCACTTGATCGTTTAGTATGTTGCTATTGCTTTCTTCATGACTTATACATGTTCCTATAACTATGAGATTATGCAACTCCCGTTTACCAGAGGAACACTTTGTGTGCTACCAAACATCACAACGTAACTGGGTGATTATAAAGGAGCTCTACAGGTATCTCCAAAGGTACATGTTGAGTTGGCGTATTTCGAGATTAGGTTTTGTCACTCCGATTGTCGGAGAGGTATCTCTGGGTCCTCTCGGTAATGCACATCACTATAAGCCTTGCAAGCAATGTAGCTAATGAGTTAGTTACAGAATGATGCATTACATAACGAGTAAAGAGACTTGCCGATAACGAGATTGAACTAGATATTGAGATACCGACGATCGAATCTCGGGCAAGTAACATACCGATGACAAAGGGAACAACGTATGTTGTTATGCGGTTTGACCGATAAAGATCTTCGTAGAATATGTAGGAGCCAATATGAGCATCCAGGTTCTGCTATTGGTTATTGACCGGAAACATGTCTCGGTCATGTCTACATTGTTCTCGAACCCGTAGGGTCCGCACGCTTAAGGTTTCGATGACAGTTATATTATGAGTTTATGAGTTTTGATGTACCGAAGGAGTTCGGAGTCCCGGATGAGATCGGGGACATGACGAGGAGTCTCGAAATGGTCGAGACGTAAAGATTGATATATTGGATGACTATATTCAGACTTTGGAAAGGTTCCGAGTGATTCGGGTATTTTTCGGAGTACCGGAGAGTTACGGGAATTCGCCGGGAGAAGTATTGGGCCTTATTGGG